AAAGCATTCTTCTTGGTCTATTCGTTGTGACGGATAAAATCGTATAATTTCAGCACTCAGCAGTGGATTCACTTCAATTGATGCGATTTCAAGACAGAGCTTAACTCAATGAATCCTCGTCGTTACTAAATATGCTTACAAGGCCTGTGAATAGCGCTAATTTCCCTGCCATGCGCATATCTTTCTTTTTCGTGGCTGTATCCTGATTGGGCATCATTTTGTCCGCAATATGCTTATAGACTTTTCCATTCAGCATTAACGTAAAAAAGCCGTCGTACCATCTGAAATCGTTATATATAATTGTTTCGTTATAATCAATTTTATAATAAGTGTTTCCTTTTCGATAGCATAAACAAAATTAATTTTAGGAAATCTAAATTAATTTATCTTTTTCTGAAAGTAGAATAAAAAACGAAACTAAAAATCAAGTTCTTTTCAAATAATAGACAATTTGAATTAATTATAATTAATGTTTATAAGAACAATTTTATATTACTATTAAAAGGAATGTTTAGAGCACTGATTACACTTACATTTTCTGGTTAGCGCTTATTTTATGACATGTTGTATTTTCCAAATTTTTCTTCCAAAACACAGAAAATACCTTCCAGCCTGTGATGACACCACGTATACGCCAACGAACCTGCACGGTATCGTTTTCAGAATGCATTGTGATCTTTAGGATGTCAAGCTTGACGTGTGCTAACTTCATATGACCAATGAACCTTAGTAGTATCAGTTGCTTCGCATAACTCACAAGTCCCCTGCAATATTTTTTAAGCATATTATGAGAAAATGGAAATACTTAATGCTAAAAACTCTCAATTGCTTTGAATACTTAATAAAATTAATTTTCGTTACTCCTCTAATATTGTTGATAAAAATTATATCATAATGGATAATAAGGACTCAATTCACAAATATTTTAGCATAAAAAACTTGCCTACAATACAAATTGCGCTACAGAACACTTTCTCGTTCTTTTCAACTTTTACAATTTACAAGACAGCATATACGTACATACATGTGCAATTTTGGATACACCTTCCTTCTTAAAGATCTCTTCGGTATCAGCTCCCTGCGGTCAATATATAGCGGCAAAATTGTATACCATATAGTTGAATATAAAATGTTCCTGCGTGAGAAAACGAGAGAAAAGGAGGACATTTATAATAGGTAATGACACACGATGCAAACCACGCAATAGTGTAAATTCGGGATTGGGAAAAGAAAGAAGGGGTAAAGGAAAAGAGATTCTTACAATTAGAGGCATTCTGTAGCAACTCGTATTATCTAGCACAAGAGGACCTCTTGTGCTAGACAATTATGCCTCAACAGTGTCTGACAATGAGAATTATTATATTTTGAAGACGCGAGATTGTACATTCAAAGCATCTAAGTTAACGAAAGTAAAGTACAATTTAAACATACTTCGGAGAAATCTTTATTACGCGATAGTGCCTGTCACAACGTGCACATAGATACAGATCACTTTCTCGTTCTCCTAACTTTTACAACTTTTACAAGACAGCATATATGTATACGTACGTGTGCGATTTTGGATACACCTTCCTTCTTAAAGAAAATCGGCATCAGCTCCCTGCCGTCAATATATATTTCACTATATCACTATATCTATCACGCGGCGATGGTCACGACTGTCACTATCTATCTATTTATTTCTAGGTTATCGCTGCATTCCAGCATAAATCAGTCTTTTTTAACAGCTTCATGCGTCTGTGATTGAGAAAGAAATCTGATAAGTACCAGCTCAATATAATGCAACATATACATATACGAATATGTATATACATTTTAGATAAAAACAGTCAGTAAACTTTTATAAAACAATACTCTTTGAAATAATACAAGCAATAATATAATTTCTATAATTACCTCTCTATATTATATCTTAAATATGCATGAATTTTCTTCTAACGATATTTGTAATGTCATCAACTTTTCACGCTTGTTGAATATATTTGCACCATGAGCACCAATAGCTAATCCCATCATATCTTCTCGAATATTTTAAATTCATCGGTATATCTAAAATAAGACAAATTTTACATAATGCAAATGTAAAAACAGTAATTATTACTTACGTCTGCTTATATATAATATACGATATATATGTATATAAAATATACGATTACAAAGATAAATCTGTATCAAACATCTATAGTTACTGTAACGTATACCAGATTAGATTTGTACGAGCAAGCAGATATTAATATGTAAAATATAATTTATATATATTTATATAAATAATCCCACTAACCTCGCGCAACCGATGCCAGCTGTCACATCACACGACACATACACATATGTATATACATACATACACGCACGCGAAACTCGCAGCGCGATCTCGATCGCCGCATCGTATCGACCGCACGCACGCATCGGCCAATCACGCACGCGGAAAAGCGGCAACAATACTACTCGACCACGGGCCAACTTCTCGCGTCTACATGGATTTTTTTATTATAGAGACTAGAACAACACAGGCGCGCGCTACGCGCGCGTTTTTATTTTATTTCACGAATAGAACAAAACAGGCGCGCGCTACGCGCGCGCATTTATTTTATTTCACGACAATACAACTATACATTTTTTATATTTTTATTAGAAGTGAAGAGGTAAGTCGCTTATATCAACATAGGTCCTCTAAAGCGACACTTCCTTATTTCTCAAAAACTAAACACTGCACTTTATTAATGCTGATGAGGACATAATTTACTTATATAATTAAAGACGTAAAAACCTTTACTTTACACATTTATTGATTTTTATATATAAAATATGCTAAAAACGAATCATTCAAAAGCAATTATTAAAAATAAAATTTACCCAAATCTCTTTACTAATTGTACAGTTTAAATAATAGTGAATATATTATTGATAATATTAGATCATTTTACATGTTTGTAACGTCCTAAAACTATTTAAATTTTTCTTTTTTTATTTTTCTCATATATACAATGCAGTTTTATATTTAAATATAAAATTGAGATGCAACATAAACTGGCATACTTATTGATAAAACAGATTATAAGGTAGTAAAAATCAAATAGGATAAAATAAAAAACACAGCACAAAAAGATATTGCTGCGAAATTATGAAACAAATTTACTGGCAAATGCTGTCGGGATACTGCCAACATTTTGCTATGTGGGGTAAAGCAATTGTGAAGCAACACACAGTAACAGACTACGAAGGTAGAAAACGAAAGGTTTCAAGTTCAAATCCTGATCGGCTCTGTTAATTTTTCCGTTTACCCCTCTCGCTGTCCAAAATTTCCTTCCGTATCTTTCCTCCATCCTCACTACACTCCTTGTTTTCTCGTATATTTCCATGATTCTCTTTCCCAACTTCTCATTCACTCTTGGTTTTTTCAGACATCTTCCCAAAACCCTCTTGTCCACTGAATCAAATGCCGCCCTTGGATCTAAAAAGCAGCCACTACCTTCTTTTTCCTCTTTAATCGCTTCCCTATCGCATAATTTAGTGTGTAAATGTTGTCCACCACTCTTCTCCTCTTCCTAAACCCTGCTGGGCTTTCTGGAATCATCCCCTTCTCCACCATCTCTTCCCTCAACCTATTTGCTAATATCGACGCGTACACTTTGTACGCCGACGGTATCAGCGTAATCCCTCTATGTTCGCTACTTCTTTTGCCCCTTTTTTTCGCTATCGGAACGACTACTCCGTCCTTCCACGCCTCTGAAAAACCCTCTCCTTTCCATACTCTCCCATAACGCCTTTCTTAAACCACTTCCCCCATAACTCCACACTTCATTTCCTATCTAGTCCTCTTCCGCTGCTTTACCTTTTTTCAGCCCTTTCAGCACTCTCTCTACTTTCTTCCATCCTATCTCCTTCTCTTTCTCCACTTCCCCATCCGATCCCTGCTCTCCCTCCTCTCCTAGAAGAAGCCTTATTCGCTTGTATTTTGTTTCTTCTAACATCTCCCTAAAGTATTTATCCCACTTCTCTAATGTTATCTCCTTATTAATTTCTACCCTTCTTCTCCTTTCCTTGTTTATTACTTCCCACACCTGCTTCTCTGTTCTCGCTTCTCTTGCCTCTTTCAGCATATTTCTCTTTTCTTCCTTTTTCTTCACACTTTTCCTTATATTATACTCCTTTCTTCTCTTATGATCTTCTTTGTGTTTTCTTCCTCTTTTCCAGTCTCTTAATAATTTTTCTATCTCCTCCCTCTTCTTCCTACAGTCCCCATCCCACCATACTCCCTTTTCTTCTGCCCCTCTTTTTACTCTTCTCAACCTTACTTCCATCTTAATTTTTTTTGTCAACTTTTCGACCTTTTTATTTATTGCCCCCCTATCTATTTCTACCTCCTCCGTTCTTCTTCAAAACTCCTCTCTTGCCTCTTCCGACCAATCCGTCTTTTCCACCCACCTCTTTTCCTCCGCTATTGTCCCTCTCCTCTCACCACCACCCCCTTTGTTCAACCGTACTGCTACTGATTGGTGATCCGAATCTACCTCACATAATCTACCTTTAATCTTGTCACTATTTCCCAAGCTTTTCTATCTCTTATTGCGTAATTGATCACTGTTTCCCCCTTCCTCCTGTAAAAGTCGCCTCCCCCTTCTCACCACCCTCCTTTGCTACGTTCATAATTTCCCACCCTTCCTCTTCCACCCATCTAATCAGCCCTTTTTCCTGCCTATTTATCATTTTATCTTTCGATTTTCTTTCAGCTCCCTCTTCTCTATCCTCCAGCGCTCCTTTCTCCCCTGTTCTCGCATTGAAATTGCCCCCACTATCCATCTCTTCTCTCTCCCTTCCTCCTCTTTTACTGATTTTATCTTACTTATCATCTTGTCCAAGTTGCGCTTACGTAAACTGTTGCCAATCTCCAATTCACTTCTTCCATCTTACTTATCTAATCATTAAACCTTTCTCCTCCACCCATTCTTCTTCTTTTTTTAACCCTTCTCTGATTTCCATCATTATTCCACCTATTGCTTTTTCTTTTCTTCCAACTCTTTCTTTCTTTGCACCCTGTATACTCCAGAACTTCTTTGGCACCCTATTCTTCATCTTCTCCCATTCCTCCCGTTCCAGCCACGTCTCCACCAGCCACGACATTCCACTATTTTATCCTTTCCCAAAACTTCCTGTTTTTCCTTCACTCCCGCTACATTCCAAAAGTTTATCTTTGGGCTTCCTTCCTGTTCCTTCCTTTTTTCCTTCCTCTTTAATTTTTTTTTTCCCCTTTCTCTTTTTCTCCCCTCTTTTTCCTCTCCTTCACTCCTTTTTACTTTCCCCACTTTACTTTCTCTGACTCCTTTCCCCCCTCCCCTCAGCCTCTCCACATTCCCTTTTTTCCTGCTCTCCCTCTCCTCCCTCTTCTCTCCACCCTACCCTCCCATCGTTTTTCCTCCCTTCTCACTATCCTTTTTTTTCATTTTCCCGTCTCTCTCTTTTCTACTCTTTCCTCTTCCTCTGTTCCTTTTTCTCCCACCCCCTCCTTCTTCTTGTTCCTCTTTCTCATTTTCCTTTCCATCTGTCAGGACTTTTTTTTCCTCATCCCAACTCCATCACTTCCCCTCTATCCAAATCTTTCCGTACTTTACCCAAGCTCTCCTTCTATTTTTTCTCTCCTTCTCAGCTATCCTCTCCAGGCTCCATTACATTTTTCTTTCCTTCAAGGTCATGTCATTTTCTATTCTTTCCATCTTTCTTTTCCACATATTCTTTCTCTGCATTACTTCACATTTTTTTACTCTATCTTTTAACCTTACTAAAACCATCTTCTTTTCTTCCCCGTTTTTCTTCCTATTTCTTTTACCTCCTCTATTCCTCTCTCTACCCCCGTCTCTAGCCATAACTTCTCTACCGCTCTTTTTAGCCTTCCCTCCTCCACCTCTACCCTTTTCACTACTACATTGTTCCTCCTTTTAGTTAGTTATAATTAACAAATTAATAGTTTACATATTTATATATTTGTATATAAGGTGTGCCATTTTAAACGCCCCAGACAAATATCTCGAAAAATATGAAAGATATGAAAAAACGTTTTAGACAAAAAATGCATCAAAGAGGACAAATAATGATAAAACCAATTTTCAAATAAATCAATTTTTTAAGGTCACATAAAGGTCATCGCCATTTTTTTTCATAATATGATTTTTCTAATTATTCTTCATATAAAAGTATTAAGATAGTTGTAAAGAAATTAATAGTTTACAAGATATTTCATATTTTATTCTGGCACATTTTGGCGAAATATAAAATACCTCATAAA